CTGCTGACCCCTGTATCAGTTTACATAAACCAAGTACGAAGTGACCATAATCCAGTAAGAAAAAACACTGGTCAATATGATGTTATGTCTGTCAAGTTAGGCTTCAACAAGTAATTAACAACAATTTTGCCCTGTTTGGATAATTTCCCAGCCTTGTTATTAGAAGGAACATAAAAAAAGAGGAGAGGAACAGCTTCGATTTAAAATAAATGGGTGCTATTTTCCAAACTCTAAAAACATGTTGGTGCCAATGTATTGGCTGTAGGGTATGCAGCCAGAGTTATAATCTAGCAATTTCTCAGTTTGTCTAAGTGCACTTACTAACCAGGAGTAAGCTCTACAGCAAAGACAGTCAACACTTACAAATGAAAGTTCTACTTCCCAGCTGCTGTGAACCATTTAGTGGATAGATATCAGATCAACCCCAACAGCTTTTACCAATGAAGTGGATGGGAAACCCTTTCTGACAGCCCGAGATAAAACCCTTCATCTATATTTAAACAGAATTAATCCTTAGCTTCAGCAGCAACCCCCAAAACACTGGTGCAGACAATTTTTAAAACTTTATGACAGACTGGAGAGATTAGGAGTCTATTGCTGAAGATGTCACAGGTAAAGATCCCATAAAACCGGAGAACAGAGAAGTTTCATAGCATCACAACGGGCGTGAAAAGAATGCCAGAGGCTGTGTTGCGTCATGTACTCATGAGACATTAAATACAATCCAGGAACTTCAGTTTGAGTAACAGATCTGTGGATTTGAAGGCTTATGAGATAACAAGACACTGCATAGGGGTTTGTTAATGCATAGATAGTGTTCCAATGGTATAAGATTTTCACTGTATGGTGACTGTCTCAAAAATAGTTTCACTATATTACTATTACAGAATTAATATTATTATCAGTCAGAATGACCCTTAAAGGAATGAAAATGGAGGAGTGATTTTTGGTTGAACAAATGTTTTATTACTATAATTGAAACAATTTTGTTAATGGAAGTATGTGTAATAAGTCTCCCCTTTGAAAATAAGTAAAATAAAGGGGAGATTATCCATCCAGCTAGAAAAGCAAATGTACACAGTGTGATAACGGTCAACTTTTATATCATGCTACACCTTGAAACTGGTATGGATTTTACAACTCTGGAATGTCATCTCAGCTGTAATTATTTTATCTTTTATCTAGACTATCACGAGGTAAACTGTACAAATACAACCTTCACATTACAAAGAAATGTGCACTTGCGTGTATTTGATCGGCCCCTTCAGCGCCTCGCTGGAGACAATGTCACCCTGCAGCAAAAGTTGTGTTAGCAAAATGACTCTTATTTTTTGCCAGGAATATTTGCTTCATCTTTTTGGCAGGGCTACATGACCTCTGAGCCAGGACATTTTTCCTACAGCACATTCGTATAAAGAGCCAATGCCCTGCCCCATCTTCAGGCTATCTTCTGCTCCGCGCAATGGTTTTGCCGCAAAACTCAGCTGTAGTGGAGCTCTTTAGCAATTTATTGCTTAAAAAAACTGTTTTCACATCTTTGCAAGAATTACAAGGTGTTCAGACTTTACTACCAAGGACTTTGGTAAATATCCATTTACAGATGCCTACCAATCAATGAGAGAAACTGAAAGCAAATCAAAGTAGAAATACGCTAATGGAGGGGAGGATCAGAGGTCTATCCTGGAAGTGAGTAAAGATGCAGCTCTCTGTTGTTGGCAAGTGGAAGATACAGTAGAGTCAAATGAATACCACAAAATTTAAGTGCATTTGAGATGGTAGAGAATAGTGGCAAATGGTTCTTGGCAACAGAACAAAACAGAGGACATAATACATTATGGACCTGCCTGGGCCTGAAAATCTAAATTAAACAACAGTCTTCAACAACAATCCTCCCTTTGCTCATTGTTCATCTAAAGTGCTGTATATTGAATAACTTGTTTTCTGTTAAGAGACTGCCGTCTTGGGGCTAAAGAACACCTCTCTTTCAAATCCACGCATTTTGGTGGTTTAATAACCTGAGAATCCAGTTAAATGTAGGCATCTTCTTAATTAAAGGGTCTGTCGTTTTTGCAGATATTACACCACCTAAGTGTGTGCAAGAGTTTGGATTCAGTCAGGAAGCTGCACTTTCTTTTTTATGTTATCTTCTGCAGATAGTCTTCCCAGTTTTAAACAAGGGCTGGTAATACACTTAGCTAAGCAAACACCATGCACCTGCAACATCCTAACTTTATGGCACACTTCCTTCACACACACACTCCAGTCTTCCTCGCTTATTTAACAACAGGTACAATGCTAAGTAGAAGACTATCATCCAGTGTAAATGGTATGCAAATGGGAAAATGAAAAACAAACAAACAAACAAACAAAATGAAAATAGCATCTGCACGCTGAGGGCAGCAGTCAGTCATCCCATCCTCCTGCTGATTCCTCGCTCCTTTGTCACCGAGAGACGGAGAGAGAAACTACAGCCTTGCTCTTGTTTAGTCCTCCATAAAAGTCACTGGGGAAAGTTTATGGTCGACAGATGCTCGAGTAAATGAGTGGTTTTCCCCCTCTTCCATCGTCTCCTTGCTCAAGGAAGGGGCTTCACGGTCACCAGCGGCGACCCAGAGTTAACCTCCCCCTGTGTTGCCACGGAAACGGAAGAGCTGAGAAAAAGGGAGGAAGCCAGGCGGTGGGAGTTACGACCCGACGGAGTGAGGGAAGAGAAGAGTTGAGTGGAGTCTGTCTTTTTATGTATAATTGTCTCTGTCTGCCTCTGTCTAGCTACTGCTGTCTTTCTCCAGGCACCTCTGACACACACACAGACACACAGACACACATGCTGCTGCTGTCGTCTGAGGCAAGCCTTATTCACTACTTCTGATCTGGCAATCTGCAGTCAGCTCCACCAATCACAAGGAGATCTTTCTTCCGACACAGCTGGCTTCCTCCAAGATGGCGGGTTGGTTATTAAGCATGGCCTACTGGCCGATTTTGTACCATTACATAATTAAATTAAGCAGATGTAAGTATGACAGCTTTTTCATTACAGATGAGTTGTTTAACTTGAGTTAGTCCTCTGGGTGTTACATTCGCAACAGTTTGCTAGGTCTGACCACTACTGCAACATTCCCTCACTCAAACACCTCCCTGACAATGCACACACATACACACATGCACACACACTGCATGTACATGCAGCAAAACTCTTCTGCTCTGCCCGATGCAACCAAACCCAACACCTCCTAATGCCTCAGAGGCACTCAAGACTCCAAGCACTATTCAGCTTTACCTACAAACAGCAGCTGGATAACAGGATGGAAGCAGAGTAAAAACCAAGAGGAGGAAACAAGTGAGTTGAGCTGAATTACACCTGTCTCTATGAGGCCCAGCAGCTGGTTAGTCAGCTTCCTGCCAAAAAACTATATCATGACGACAAAGAACATTCCAAACAATTCTGAGATTAGCCTTTAAAAGTAGCGATCAGGGAAAAGATACAAGAAAATTTCCAAGGCAATGAATATCACTCAGACCACAATAAGAATAGAAGAAAAAAAGCATAGGTGCAAATCCGCCTAAAACTCAAGTGTCTGTGTGAGGGCAATAGAAAAGGGCTTGTAACAGCTCATAAGAAGCTGCAGAGTTCCATGGCTGACAGTACTTACTGTATTGACACCATTAAAAGTATGCCAAAGCTATGAGTAGTTCCTGTGTGCAATGCACCAATGGATGTCCAGACAACTATGACTGGATTACTTTGAAACTTTCAAGAAATAATGTTGTTTAGGTAATGTCTTTTTTTCCATGAATCTGAGGTGGATTGATAAATGTTTATTTGCTATGGACATATCATTAGAGATAATCATATCATCAGAAAGTTCAAGTCATACAGGATCCAAAGATATGTGTAACATGTCTGTGTTTTTAGATTTGACTAAACTATGAAAATTTTATGCAAATTGCAGAAACTGGACGATGAGAGTTTTAAAGTACCATAAGTGCTTCCATGAGCTGTGCGTGCTGATACGCTGGAGAAACTACGATAAGTAACTTTCTGTTGTTTTCAGAACACCTGCATGCACCTGTGCCACCTCACACAGTGTCTTTGCTTCACATCTCAATATTCTTAGTCTTGAACAGTTTTGTAAATAAGTAAATAACATTGACCATCCTGTTACAATGCAATGTTCTGCTGGGAGCCGTTGGGTCCTGACATTCATGTGGATACCACTTGATGCGCTCCACCCACCTAAACACCATTGCAGACAACCAACACCTTCTAATGGCAACGGCACTCCCTGATGGGGGTGACCTCCCCCAGCAGAACAATGTACCATACCACACTATAAACACTGCTTAGAAATGGCCTATGGAACGTGACAAAAAGCTCAAGGCGTTGACTTGGCCTCCAAACTCCCCAGATCCTAAGCTGATCGAGTGTCTGTGGGATGTGCTGGTACCCCACCTCACAACCCAAAGGACTCAAAGGATCTACTGCCAACACCCTGGTGCCAGAAACCACAAGACATCCCCCAGAGGTCCTGTGTCCATGATACCAACAGGTCAGAGCCAGGTCTGATCCAAGGAGGCCCTACCGTGGATTGTCGTACCTCTGAGGTACCACCACATCCCAAATCATTGTTCAGATAGGGATTTGGGGAATTTGAGACGAGGTGAATGCCTTGAGCTCTTTGTCATATCCTCAGGCTATTCCTTATAATATTTTGGGACATCCTGTTGCCATGAGGGGGTCCTTGATCTGCAATGGTGTTTGGGTGGGTGGAGTGCATCAAGTTGCATCCACATGGATGCCAGGACCCAAGGTTTTCCAGTAGAACTTTGCATTGCAGCGAGATGATCAATATTATTAACTTACCCACCAATGGTTTTAATGTTTTGCCTGATCAGTGTATATTGTATATTGTAACAAGCAATAAGTTGTTAAACAGATATGTGTGATGAGCGTAAATCGTTGCTGTGGACACAAAATGTAGTCAAACTTCTGAAAAACGTACCTGGGGTCTCCTTTGCCCAGGTTAGCTCCGCCAGGATGGAGGATGGTCTGGTTCTTCACCATCTCCACAACACATTTAGTGTTTAGTTCCTTTTCTGTGGATCAGACAACACATAGTGTTTCAGCCGAAGCACTAAACCCCACAACAAAAAGTTTCTATAGTGTTCCTTAATGGTTTCAATAGAGCACAAGTTAAATGGCTATTTAGCACAATTGCTTCCTGTGGAACATTAACTTCAAACAATTTGCGAGTAGGCCGGGAAACGCCAACACAGAAAATGACCTTTTACCTTGGAGTGAGCATTAAGCTAATCAATACAACAGGACTTGTACAGGTTTCTCTCCCTCCCTCTCACATGCATACATGCACACGACTAAGGACCTCCCATGCTGACCCTGGCCTGTTTGTGTCATGACGCAACACTTGGCCTTCAGAACACCAACTGGCCATTTCCAACTCAGCATAGAGAGTGGTCCTCACGTTTTGTCCACTCAGGTATTCGATCGGCTGCACAAGTCAGCATATCATGTAGCTACACATTGAGGGTACTTCATCGAGGTTGTAGTTTTAGTTTTACCAACTACAGTTTCACTGTTCCATCAGAAATTAAGTGCTTTACTTGTAAATGCAATGAATGCATGAGTACAGAGTAAATCTCTGATCTCTTTTTGGTAACTTTTAATAGATATTTCACATGTTCTTAGTATAATGCACTACATATCATGTTTTCATAGCTGAGTCAGTCATATAACCGTCTAATACAAGGCTTGCCGTGAAAGTAACCAGCAGAAGCATTGGAAAATAACAACATGAACAGCACTGGAAATTCACTAGGCTGGTAAGTCTCTCCATTCATCTGTCTTGCCACTGAGACTTAATGATGGTTGTCTACACACAGGCTAGGTGCTGCCAGAATGTCCTGGGCATCCAGTTTTGGGCAGAACTGGTCGTGCATTTAAAAAAAGGTATATGACAATAGGTTTCTTGTAGAGCAGGCAAATTTACCACTAGCAGAGTACCAGTCTTTTACTGTTGGTGAATGTTTGCGCCACAGCCACTGAAATACTTTGTGTTTTTTATTAGGGCCATTTGCTTAAATTTATTATAGAACACCATTACACTTTATTACCAAAATAAAAATATCTTGTTAAGGATTGTTAAATTACAATAATAACATAATTAGGATGAGGTCAGTAATACTATTTGTTTTTGATGACAATACTATCTTCATCTTGGCCTGTGGCCTAATCAATAATACAGGATCAGGTAACGTCACCCACATGATGTTCTCTGCAATCGAGAAGCTTGTTTGTAAAAGCAGGCAACAAAAGTCAATGATAAATTCATGCTATTTAACCTGATAAGATAAAGGTGGGGCTCAGGATTCTTTGCCCCCATGTGTTGCTCCTTGTGGGGATATCCTCCTCCCTCCCACAGGAAGGTCAGAGGTCAAGGCTAGAAAAGCACACCTTTCTTTGCAAATCGGTGTTTACTCAAGGACACTTCAGCAGAGGAGACTCACTGATAATAAATAATGTCCTTCAACTAGACGACTTGGTTCAAGCCTGCCATGTAAACATGCATCCATCCTGCTGAACTGCACTTCAGAATTAGTTTACTCTGTATCTTATCATTGTATTTACCATCACCATTTGGCCCAGTATTTACATATAGACTGCTACATTTTAACACACAATCATGCTGCTGATGAGTGTCAATAATTATTTCTCCATTATGAAGCAAGCATGCAAGAGCATGTGAAGATTTTGAACTTCAGCAAATGTGTTAGGACAGGAAAACATTCTGTGGTTTCAATTCCTTTCTTCAACTGTCTAAAGCAGTATTACTGTGTCATTTTATGGTCTTTATGACTTCAGTTGTTTCTTCTCACCAAGGCAGAAGAAAGCAGGGATGAGCTCATACAGTATGATGAATAAGTCAGCAGTTGAACATGTGCCATTTTTTCTATATAAAGAAATGGTACAAGATTCTCAACAATCAGAGACTATTAGCACTGTACACTGTTGATTACAGTATATAGGAGACGGAGCAATTTTTAAATAAACCTTTCCTAAATGTGGATGACTTCACCAGATGATAATTTATTTCTTTGGCAATAAGGCTGTTGCAAGGCACTTAGCATCCTTGTTAAACAGTACCTGGCCATGCTTGCCCACTCTGTTTCTGCCAAGAGTGTTTTTAACTGTTGTGTAAGTGGTCAGCATGCTGTGTGAGTTTACATGTTATCCTAAAAAACATACAAATTACCATTTTATCTGGCTGCTATGACAAGTAGACTAAAGAATATGAAGAAGTCACTTTACAAGGTACTTTTTATAAAAGTGGCTGCAGAAGTAGACACCTCTAACTCCCCAGCCAGCACCAAAATCTACCACCAATTCCCTCCCTGAGATACATAGAGGAATCCCAACCTGAGGGGTTTTATGTCTCAGAAGAATCTAGCTGTGCCTGTGCAAACCAGGAACATTAGGGATTTGAGGCTAAACTGTCTGTTTAGAGAGCCTCAACACTGCTGTTCCTGGCAGGAACACGGGGGTAGAGCCATGGAAACTTGGTGTCAAAGGTCAGAGGACCTGAATCACCCTCCAATTCTTCTGCTGTCAAGGGCACCACAAAGCAAAAAAAGCAAAGTGAGCCAGCAGAGTGACAAAATGACAGTGAAAGCAAAAGAACAACATAAAGTTAAACAGGGGGACTGACACACAGAGAGGCTGAACTTTCTCTCTCTTTTTCGGCTGTTGCCTACATTACCCATGTGCCCCTACTGCTGCAGCTGTACTTCCTGCTTAGCAGAAGGGAAAGTGTGATGCAGTGAGGTTATGAGGATAAATGTACCCATTGTTATCTGCCTCTCCTTGCTCCATAACCAGCTCCCACTTTCCACTGGCCTTCTCTGTGGTCCTTCCCTGGGCTACCGGTGCTGAGGTTTGGCACAACAGCCCTGACATCAGCCATTGACTGCAGTGTTGCCGTTGCTACGCCTGGGGTTGCTCTGTTCTTCGAGGGCCACAGCCATGGGAACATGGAGCATTACGCAACGTTAGCAAATATTCATTCAGACTCACTCCCTTCCTGCCTTTGTCCAGCTAGGCAGCTACACCACCTCTTCTCCCCAACCTGGGATACACAGGGACAGTGCCCTCGAGGTTAAAGAAGCCCGCTTATTATTTCAGTATCGCAGGTCTGAATCACTGCACCAGCTGGGGAAATGCAAGTGAGGAATGCGAATGTGTATTCCTTTCTTCCCTGAACTACTGCGACTGTGTCATGAAGCAACTGCCTCATAGCAGAAGACAGGGGAACAGCTGTACCTGAACTGAGCAGCTCAAAAGGTGTGGGAATACATGGAGGCCTGAATAGTAAATGATGTGCAGCTGGAAAAGAGCATTAAAAGGAATTCTTCTGGGGTGGTTCAGTTATTCTGAATTGACATATGATGGAAGAATTCTGTGTCCACTCAGAGCTAATATGGCTATTTAAAAATCATACAAATCTCACATTAACACTGGTAGATATGGACAGAAGCTCCATTCAGACAGGGATCAGAAAGGCACTACTGGAGACGTGGCACTGCTGGTTCCAAACCCTTTCCCACTGCCTTTAGTAAGCCATCAATTTGCCTGCTCGTTCCCCTTCACCAAAATCATAATTGCTTTTTCTTCCTCAGCAATGGAAGACACACACATGCAAGCATTTGTTTACAGAGCTGACAGTCTTGCATGTTTGATATCATGCACCAGTGAAGCTGGACATACAGATACTAGTAATGAAGCCTATTTCTCTTAAAAACTTGGATGCAACAGGGAGGAAATAGTATACAGAAAAGACTTTTTGCTTCAGACTTTGCTTCACTGAACTTCTGAAATTTGATTTTTGGCTTTTGAATTATGGTTATTTCAAAATAAACAAAAACACAAAGTATTAGTTAAGTTAACACTGGAATTGACGGACAACCCCAAAAAAGGTTGTGTTGCGGTCAAGTAAATCTGGCAGACAGCTTGCCATCACCTGTACCTGTGAGGTTAGTTGGAAAGAAACCTGAATGACTGAGTTCACACTGAAAGCAAGAAATGAACATGGGCAACTAGAAAAGATCAGGAACTTCCCCATTGAATGAGATGCGGCCAATGAAATGTATTACTGTAAATCCCTACCTCTATTAATCTCAATGCACCTGCTCTGAAGCTGAATTCTACCAGAGCTAACCTTGAGCCTCTCCATCTCTGACTAGGTTAAGACTGCAGGCAAATTAGATTTGTTTCTCAAATCAGATCTTGAAGACAGACTGTCCACACTGTTATTTCCAAGTAATTAGATCATATTTGTGTGTCCAGACATCATCAACCTATCCCCATGGGATTCTGTGGTAACACTCTAGGTGTCAATAAGGTGGCAACACTGGTAATGCGGCTTTCCAACATGGAAGCATGAGAAATGGAGGTCCATCATTTTGCCCTCCTAACAATTTATTTTGGTATCTGTTCACACACTGTTGTCCCTCAGATTGTCCTCCTTAGCACTCTGCTAGTAGCAACATGGATCTGCTCAGCTCTTCCGCCACTCTGGATTTGACACTGGCATTGGGTGTTGTGTTCAAAGACAATTTTAAATCAGTTTTGAGCATCAAGATTGAGATACATCTGTTGAAATCCAATTGGACTGTAATTCAAACCACTTTCAAATGTGGTCTGTAGCAAATTTGCAAAAATCTGACTCGTGGTTTTTTGCTGTCCAGACTTCTTAAAAATCAATCTATACATAATCTGGACATGCCAAAAAATATCATTTGGGATGGCAGTCTAAACAAGGCCTCTATCTCTATCTAATTATTTACAACCTTGATAGTTCACTTACCTAATGTCAATGGACTCATAATTGTCATTCAAAAATAGAAACACTTGGAATTTTGTGTGTCCAAATCAAATGTCTATCCTTTCAGTTTTTTCACTAAGAAAAAACCTCATGACTGCTGAGTTTGTCTACATTAGAGTCCATGGTAAATCCCTGCCTATGGGAACAGTGTGGTGATCCACTGCCTTGGTCTTGTGACCGACTTCTCTGGCTCGGGGGGGG